TTTGTTGGACCAGAATTTGCCTTTCTGGCGCTATTTGATGATTCTCAGGAAAGTGATGTCAAAGAAATTTTGTCTCTCTCCTTCTCTTGCCTTGATCGTAACTGAGTAAGTAGACAGCTGAAATTGAATACTCGTCATTGACGTATTTATGTTTTTTTTTTTTGATTTTTTTTTAAAAACGAGGGTTGTTTGGCTTTGTGTCAGTGTGAAAAAGAAAATTATTCCATTCCTTTCCCGCAGTTACTTATCAAAATTCGCTAAAATTTTGTGAAATGGAGCGATGGCAGATAGCGCGGTTCTCATGCTGAAAATCGAAGGCTCAGCTCAAACAATCAGTCACTTGAGAATCCATTCATTCTTTTTGATGGCGTATAGACGCACGCCAAGGAGCTAAAACCGCTATCAGCTTGCTTCTAAGCAATCCTTGGGAGCCTTGCCAGAAGGTTGTTGCCTTTGGCAAGTGCCACCACTTGGAAAATTGCTGAGTGTCATAATTAATCATAAAAAGTGAGTTACCGAGACGCGAGAAAGTGCACTTAACTTCAGTTCTAAGTGCAAGAAAAGAACTAAAAGTGTTTCAACGGTCAGCTGATAGAACAAAGCCACTGTTTTATCTGGAATCGCAGTGCATCTTCAACGCTGACGCATTTTTCTCGAACACCAAAGATCCCGTTGGGATAAAAAAAATGCTTGACTTCGAACATTAATTATCCGGAAAAATGAGTTGTGCGCTCACGTCAATTTCATCCGGACGAAAAGCCGTGAAATATTCCAGGTCAATTTGCGCTTCAAAACGATCGCGACCGTTTCGTATTTGAACAAAACTTGCTGCTGTTCCTCTGAAAACTGGCACAGATACCAAAATATGATCAGTTGGCCACACACGGCGGCCATGCCTTTCTACGTTGTTTTGTGCATGAATGTTTGTTGCTTTATAATGTGCACTCATGATGCTTTCATTTACCAAAGGAGCAAAATAAAACAGGTCAGTGCTTCCTATTTGATGTCGGAATCGCCTGCAGTACACTGACCATCAGGAATTGGTCAAAGCAACAGGAAAAGTCACCAGCTGCGTAGTTGGAAAAACAACAGGCTTTGAACTGGAACTGACCAAGTTACCAAAGTGTCATTTTTTTACTTTTTTTACTTTGTTTCCCGTCCCCTTTCCGCTTGCACTTATATTACTTGGCTTAGTTGTATATCATAATGTGGCCCTCTCTGACCACTGCTGCATCGCGTCTGCTGGTCAGCCTGCTGGCGATCCTGACCTTCGTATCACTTAAAGAGATTGTCGGTTTAACAACTTAGAATCGCTTGGCGAAGCTTTAGCCGTTTTGAGATGTATTAGCACTGAACATGAAAATACACGAACATCGGTATTTCCCATTGGTCGCTACATTTCTTCTTATACACTGTCGCTTTTCCGCCAAACTGTTCGACATTCTCTTGGACCCCTCTCGTCATGGCAG